GAACCGGTTTGGCTCAGTGGATAGAGTTGTCGGCCCTGAGGACTGAAGGGTCCCAGGTTCGATTCCGGTCAAGGGCATGTACCTGGGTTGCCGGCACATCCCCAGTGGGATACGTGCAGGAGGCAGCTGATTGATGTTTCTTTCTCATCGATGTTTCTAACTCTCTATCTCTCTCCCTTCCTCTCTGTAAAAAATCAATAAAATATATTAAAAAAAAAAAAGAAATTGTAGTACAGAAGCTGAGAGGCACAAATCCTATGTAATAAAGAGCTAATATGCTAATTAGACCGAACAGCAGAATGACCGTCCAGATGAACTTCTGGACAACCATACGGACAAAGCCAGGCCTGTTAAGACCAAGACAGCCGCAGCTTTGCAGTTAAATCCCATTGGGCCTCTTGTTAATTATAATTAGTAGGGATGCCGGAATACACATTATTTTAATCTTTCAATTAAAAAGATTATTTAAAAGACCGGTGTGGCTCAACAGTTGAGCCTTGACCTATGAACCTGGAGGTATTGGTTCTATTCCCGGTCAGGGCATGTGCCCAGTTGCGGGCTTGATCCCTAGTGGGCGACATGCGGGAGGTGGTCGATCAATGATTCTCACATTGATGTTTCTATCTCTTTCTCTCCCTTTCTTAAATCAATAATAAAAAAAAAGAAAGTGACATAAAATTAATAATAGTGACAATTTCATTTATGTTTCCCAGATTCTTAAGAAATAGGGCACGGCAAATTATGTACCTTTTAAATCTGGTGGCGCTTTATGTATGAGAATGGTGTCTAATATTCAAAATGTGTTCCATTAGATGTGCTCTGCTCCCTAAATGAACGCCACCGTGATGGAGACTAGTGCTTTCATGTTGGATGCCTTTCGGTGGGGCTAGACATCTCACAAATGTTAGTTGTCTCTACCGGAAAGGATGGCAATTGAAAGCGAGCTGGGAGCCCCTGGGAACGTGAGGACATGATTACACAGCATCAAAAGCACAGCACCCCTCTCCCAATCCCTGGAATCACATCTCCTATGGATTTAGGGGCCTTATTTTCCCCCTCAGAAAGGCTGGCCTGGCTTTGGTTAGCTAAGCTGAGCTGCCTCTGAAAATCCAGAACACATGGTAACCAAATCCATGGCACTCACACTGGCTTTTTTTCCCCAAATTACTCAGGAAAGAAAAGAAATACCAGTCTCTTTTCTCAAAGGGACTGACTGTCCTTTCCACAATTAGTTTGTGATGTAGTGGCTACCTAAGCCATGCGTTCTTCGTTTTGTTGATGGGTTAATGTTGCTGAAAGGTTTTAAAAAGTGTGTTATTTAGGTTGTAAAGACTTGATATAATAAAATGAAACAAAACTCCTTAAATGATTCTTTTAATAACATTCTCCACTGTGAATGCTATTAACATCTTATCAATAAAAACATTGTTTTGTTTTTGGTCATTTTTAAAATTTTCTTCCAAAATATTGACCTGAATTATCCTTTTCTCCTGAATTTTAATAGCATAATTTTGTGTTCTTGGATATTTCTATTGGTCATCATCCAGTTGGAAGATTGGTTTTTGAGGTAAGAGGTTTTGTTGTTGTTGTTTGTTAGTAAGTTGGGGGGAGTAGAAATATGTAACTGTCAAAATGTTAAATATTTAATCTTCTAAATCTTTAATTTTATTTTGTAGCTATACTGTGAGACATGTCCCAAAACATGCAAAAATTTTCAGGTCTTGTGCACAGGAAAAGCAGGGTTTTCTCAAAGTGGCATCAAGCTACATTATGTCGGTTCGATTTTTCATCGAATAGTAAAGAATGCTTGGGTACAAGGAGGAGGTAAGTTTACAAACTTAATTGCAACATCAAATCAGAATGTCCAAAATTTTACTTACTTTTGTAAAATGCATATAGGATTAGATATATTTCATATCAGATGTTTGTGGGAACCCTAATCAGAGTACACCAGATGTTCAAGGCCAATTTGCCATATGCATGTACAAAAGCAAGGACACAGTGGTTTTACTTTATGTGCTGTGCAGGTATACCTTTCTATAACGCAAACATTGATGTCACTATTTAGCAAGAAGCCTCTTTTGCCTAAGTTGGTATAAAGATAATAGAGGCCCGGTGCATGAATTCGTGCACCGGTGGAATTCCTTGGCCTGGCCTGCAGGGATCAGGCCGAAACCAGCTCTCTGACATCCCCCGAGGGGTCCTGGATTGCAAGAGGGCAAGCCAGGCTGAGGGATTCCACCAGTACATGATCAGGCCGGGGAGGAACTGCAGGAGGGCTCCAGGGCGTGTCCGGCCCATCTTGCCCAGTCCCAGTTGGCCGGACCCCAGCAGGAAGCTAACCCACTGGTCGGAGCGTCTGCTCCCTGGTAGGTAGTGCACATCATAGTGGATGGTCAAATGGTCGGACACCTAGCATATTAGGCCTTTATTACATAGGATGTTACTGACCAGCCAGTACATGGCTGCTTTGCACAGCTGCTTTGAAGAACTGCTTTGTCTGATGGCTCCTTAGCAGCAATGGCTACTTGGTCTGCAATAAAGTCTCTCTTATATGCCTATGACTTCTCATATCTTCTCCATCTAATACACAGCATCTGGGAACCTGTACACCCCACAATTGGCATAGTTGAGCAGAAGCAAGGAGTAAGTGCTCCAACAATGTTGTATATATTTAAAGGATGGTTTTCATATGGCCAAATGATGAGTTCAGATATTCATACTCTTTAAAAATTCCCTAATTATTAAAATAAATCTAAAGTATGTTATCAGGAACATTCTAAAATAACAAGTCATATAAGAAAGTAGGAAAACATTTTTAATCAAAATGTAGTTTTAAATGCTCACCTAAATAAATTAGAGTACTTAGAAAATACAAAGCTTTTAAGAAACATACTAAAGGTGGAAATTTGAAAATGGAATAAATGGAAAACAACTTATTTTTCACCAAAGATGTTACATTATTACAACTGAAAAGTAAGATCTAGAGCATTTTGGTTTCCTTTTTGGTTCTTTTCAGGTCAGTCCTTTGGCTTTACAGACTAAGTGCCTGGTTAACAGCACAAAATTAAATTTGGGAAGCTTTGGGGGAAATATCCCAGAGGGAGAAATTAGTCAGCAATCTATATATATAACAGCCTAAGTGACTGGTCAACCGGTAGCTATGACATGCAATGACCACCAGGGGGAAGATGCTCAACGCACAGGCATAGAAACATGGAACAGACTGATGAATCTCAGAGAGGAGGGGGGAAGGGGGAAGGGGAGGAGGAAAAGAGATTAACCAAAGATCTTATATGCATACTAGAGGACTGGTGCACCGATTTGTGCACCGGTGGGGTCCCTCGGCCTGGCCTGTGGGGATTGGGCCGAAACTGGCAGTCCGACATCCCTGAGGGGTCCTGGATTGTGAGGGGGAGCAGTAAATATATATTTAAAAATATTTAAATCAAAATTTCACAGAGCGTCCTGTTCCACTGCTTTTCTGTAGTGTTCACAAGGTTGGTGGCTTGCTTTCTGAGATTTCCTGGCTCTGTTCCCCTCCTTACCTTTGCTCTGGACTTTCCCTAGCCTTCAGTGCAGGGGTCCTCAAACTACGGCCCACGGGCCACATGCGGCCTGCCGAAAACATTTATCCCGCCCGCCGGGTGTTTTTGCCGCCGCCGCTGCCTGTTGCTTAGCAGCTGACTCGTCCCGGGCCCGCAGTGCGCATGTATGGAATGTGCGCCGTACTCTCCGAATCCCCTCCTTCTCTCTGTCTCTCAACTCCTCCTCTCAGTCTCGGGTGTGATCTGACGAGTCATGAGCTTGCCTGTGCAGAGCCTGCTGCTGCCTGAGGACCGAGGTAAGAACAAGTTAGGATTTATTTTTTTTTTGAAGTTAGGAGGTCTATTTTTTATTTTATTTTGCAGTTAGTAGGGCCTTTTTTTTTTGAAGTTAGGAGAGCCTTTTTCCAGAATGAAACATCTGAAATCTCCAACCAGATCTAGACTAACTGATGCACACTTGCATCACTTGTTACAACTAGCAGTGGTTAGAGCATTGGCTTGTGCACTGAAGGGTCGGGGGTTTGATTCCAGGTCAAGGGCATGTGCCTGGGTTGCGATTTGCTCCCTGCCCCCTGTTGGGTCATGTGCTTGCAGAAGGCAACCAATGGATGTGTCTCTCACAACAGACTAATGAGAGAGTGCCCTCCCCCCTCTCCTGCTTTCTCTCTCCCCTCCTCCCTCCCTCCCATTCTCTTTGAAAAGCAATGGGAAAAAATATCCTCAGGTGAGGATTAACAAAAATGAAAAAAAGTAAATTATATTTTACAGCTGCATTGATATTAAAAAAATATATCTTTTACTTAAAAAAATCATTATATTACAAATGAACTCCATTTCCAAAATGCCAGATAATGAGTTATCACTATAGGGTTCCAAGGAATGAAAATATGAACAATAATTCTTTTTAAAGCAACTATTTTTATTCTTGCTTTACAAATATCTTACTGTTTCTATTTTATCCTCTCAGTTTAATCTTTCCATTTTTCTTAAAAGATGGACTATGTGATACTTGTGAAGTAAGCAAAATTTATATGAACACATTTTAAAAAATCATTACCACAATTATAATTTAATACTTCATCATTTCAAAGTTTACATTGTACCTACCTCCAAGAATTATTAGGAAAAAATAGTGTCTTGAATGTAAAATTGTTTATCAAATGCATTATAGTCATATTTTCATGGTATGAAACTTCTGATAGTCATTTGTAAAGGGGAATCATAATTTAAAGCATTATTTACCCTGCCAATGTTGTGCTTTCCTTTTTAGTTTCATAATTATAATATTTACTTATTGTTATTTTGCAGATATAGTGGCTGGAAAAGGAGATGGTGGAGAGTCAATTTATGGACCAACATTTGAAGGTACATATCTTTAAATTTTATCAGTCATATATTAGTTGATTATTCAAATTTAGCAGGACAGGACAATTCACAACTTAAGATAGTGTTTGGGATAACATACTAAAAGTGGGAGTTAAAAATGGCACCCTAGGCTAGTCCAGAACAGTTTTGTACACACAGTTTTTTCACTTTCCTAAGTATATTATTTCTTTAGAATAAATTCCTAGAATTACGATTGTAGGGTCAAAGGGAATTGATTCTTAAAGCTTGTAATTTGCCATTCTCAGAATTGGCACCTTGATTATCCTCCTGTTTAGGCTGTCTGGGATCCTGGGAAGATGGGTAGTGGTGGAGGTGGTATCGTTTTTTAATTTTTTAAAATCCCAAAATAAAAACAGACAAAATAATTAGATAGAAAAATTGAAAACCGGCAAAATAATTAGATAGAAAAACTGAAAACCCATGGATAACATTTATAACAAAACTGATAAGCTAAGTTACATAAATTCCAAAGTGCAAACAGGGAAGGGCAGACTGCCAACAGCCACTGTCGGCCAACAGCCAGAAATCTGTGTTGGAGAAAGCAGGGCATCTGAGGGACCTGAGGACAGCTGAACCCCAAAATAGCCAGTCGCTGGTGTGTGCAGGGGGCTCGTAGTAAGGTTCAGTCTAGGCTCTGTGACTCTGGAACCTGATCTGAAATGGCCCTCTTCGAGGACAGGCTCACATTGAGGAGGTATTGCTGGGAATGGAATCAAAATTATGGGGGATATAGGGACAGCAGTGAGGAAGAGGGGATGGGAACACAGTTAGGAAATCTCAGAAAGCAAGGTGCATATCTTGACCTGCAATTGAAAACAGCACAAAAAGGTTTGTGAAGTTAGAAAAGCTTCTTTCCTTCTAAAGCCACACCTGCTTCTAAATGTTTAGGAAAACTAATTTTACGTAAAAATGAACAGCAAAATGTTTCATGGTTATTAGAAGGAAACAAAAAGGGAATAAGGAATAGAGTAACAGCACTACACATAATAAAAGCACACTAGAAAGACATGCTCACAACAAGATCAAAACTGACAATTTCAAAATGAACTAAAAAACATTAATAAAATGATACAAGACAGAAAAGAACTCATAAATCAGAATTAGGAAAACTCAGCATGAGGTTATTAAACTGAGGAAAGAATAATAAAAGAATTTCAGAAACAAACTAGACAGAACATAAGACCAAATAAACACAACAGATATGTACCTTAAAGAAGTAGAAGGGCCCTGACCGGTTTGGCTCAGTGGATAGAGCGTTAGCCTGCGGACTGAAGGGTCCTGGGTTTGATTCCAGTCAAGGGCATGTACCTTGGTTGTGGGCACATCCCCAGTAGGGGGTGTACAGGAGGCAGCTGATCAATGTTTCTCTCTCATCGATGTTTCTGACTCTCTATCCCTCTCCCTTCCTCTCTGTAAAAAAATCAATAAAATATACTTTTTTAAAGAAAGAAGTAGAAGGTAGAGGGAGGAAGTTGGGTTTATGGGATTTTTTTTTTAATCCTCGCCCCAGGACATGTTTTTCATTTAAGAGAGAAAGAGAGAGAGAGAAATTCATGTGAGAGAGAAACATTGATTGGTTGCCCTGCCCCCCAAACATGGCCTGATGGGGGCAGATGAAATATGATAGAGACTAATAAGTAAAATATTCCATAGTCCTGAATTTGAATTGGAAATTTCACTTTAAACTCAAGAAGTATCTCATCTATATATTAGTATATAGCTGTGTCTACTTAATTGGTCTACAAACAACCACCAATCCAGTCCTGATACACATTCCTAGCATTTAGATTGTTGTTTTGAAATGTCATTTCTCACTTAAAGAAACCAGGGCTTTTGGGAGAAATGGCAGGTTCCAATTATGGAACAGGACATGACAAAATGAGTCTGGAACCTCATGTTTAGTCATGCTATCGTCAGAGAGCAAGAACGCTATTAAAGATTTACTAGGATCACGTCAAAGGCCTCAGGAGCCCATTTGAAGAGGTTCTCACTGGCCAAAGATGGAGTAATTTGAATAATAGTTGCAATGATTTGAAACCCAACACATATATTAAATCCATGAGTTCATAATAATATTATTTTATAAATAAAGCCTAATTGCTTAGAATTTGAACCTTCTGTCCAATAGAAGACATGTCTCAGCTCATCTCCTCACCTGCTCCTCTGGAATGATAGGTAATGAATTCATTATTTTGAAAACTGATAAATATAGAGAAAGAATCAACCATTTATCTTGCCTTTTCTATGAGAACTAGACTAAACTGTAGACAAGGGGAACCATCTTATCATAAAAGTGTTCCAATTATTAGTGAAAAGGAAATAATAGAATATCATCATTTTGCTGCCCCCATTGTGTAGGCATTTGGATGTAGGCATTTGCTGCATCAGTCTCGGCTATCATTCCAAAAACAGAATATACAACAGGATATTATGAGCCTTCTGTTGAGAGAACACACCACCAAAGGGATAGAACAGGAGTCTGATTGAGCTTCTGGATCCAGCTGCCCATTTGCAAGAAATATGACCAGTTCTGCCGTAATGTGTTCTTAAGGATCTCTGTGCTATGTAAAATCATGCAATAAAAACCACAGGACTTATGGCAGAAATGAGATTAAAAACAAAATGTTCTCGGTGACACATTAAAAAATAAGACAGTAACCTAATAAAAACAGAAACAGTGTTACACATATGTTTTGGTTATGAAACACCCGGAGGAAACCGCACTTGAGCGGGGCAAAATTCATTATGCTCAACTCCTTCCCTAACTGATCAATCAAGGTGAAACAAATAAGCATTTTCCACCCAAGTAATATAGCCAAACTGACAGGACAGAGAACAGAGAAATAAGTATATTGAACTGCACCATGTGTGTGCAACGAGCAAGCTCCAGGCTGGGAGATATTCTAGAGGTTAAATAGTTAGGTTCATTAACAGATAAAGTGTAAGGAAAAGAAAGGGATAGAGGCAGAACCTGTGGATTAAAAGAGATTTAAAAGGCATAACAAGTCTTAAAATGGGAATGACTATACTACCTAGGGATGCACACTTAGATGGTAAAACTACAAGGAAACATTAAGTACTCGATTATGTAAAAGTCAGGGGAATAGTGACTTTGGGGGTGTGGAGAGGGACTTAATTAGGGACTGCAGGGGAGGCTGGCAAAATTCTTTCTCTTGGCCTGAGTGGTGGTTAAAAAGGTGTTTGCCTTATAATAATGAATAATTATATATTTGTTTTCTGTGGCTTTTTTGTGTCTGTATTTTAATGTAATGAAAGGTTTTATTTTTTAATTTTTAAAAAAGACATATTTATTGATTTTAGAGAAGAAGGGAGAGGGAGAGAGAAATACAAACATCAATGATAAGAGAGAATCATTGATTGGCTGCCTCCTGAACGCCCCCTACTGGGGATCGAGCCCACAACCTGGGCACATGCCCTGCCTGGGAATTGAACTGTGACTTCCTGGTTCATTGGTCAATGCTCAACCATTGAGCCATACCAGCCGGGCTGAAAAGGTTTTAAAAAATAATATTGAATCAGTGGCCAAAGTGTAAGGGAAAAGTAAAAGCTAGTTTCCTTTTAAAATCATGTGAGACAGCTTTATCAAATGAAACCATGCAAGTGACAGCATTCATTTATTTACTCATAAATCAGGAAACTCGTAGTTTGGTGCCTACAGTGGCAGTAGTGCCTTTGGAAACAAAGCTGATATGACCAAGTTTCCACCCTCCAGGATTGTAGTGTTTCTGTGATGACAGATGCTTAAACAGGTAAACTATAGGTGCTGTGCTGATTTTTATTCCAAAGGAAGAACTAAGTGCTGTGCTACAAGAAAGAACAACTTACTGCCTGGGAGTGGGGGCAGTGGCCCAGAGCAGCTTATGAGTTTAGTGCAGACGGGTTGTTCCTGGAAGCTTTCCTGGCATCCTTAATCCCCGATGAGAATCCACCCTTCCACTCCCCGCCACAGCTGTTATCAGATCACCCAAACTCTTTCTGCTTGGAGGCACAGTCTCAGACAACTCGGGCCTTCTGTCCAAGAGGAGACCCATCTCTTAGCTCAGTGGTCGGCAAACTCATTAATCAACAGAGCCAAATATCAACAGTACAACAATTGAAATTTCTTTTGATAGCCGAATTTTTTAAACTTAAACTATGTAGGTAGGTACATTGTTATTAACTTAATTAGGGTACTCCTAAGCTGGCCTTTGCTAAAAACGTCCTCAATCTGATTGAGGTACGTTTGCTGAGGTCGACCCCTTCCAACTCTCCCATTCACACTCGTCTTGTATACTTGTTTCAGATAGACCTGCGCTGCGTCTCCCATCGCCCGACCAACCCTCCCCCCCCCACCCCCACTTCTTATAACGCCACTTCTTCAAAATAAGACTCACCCAGGCGGAAAACCGACTTCTGCACATGGGCCACGAAGTTTCAATTGCAGTGTACGTGCGCGCCCGCACGTGGTATTTTGTGGAAGAGCCACACTCAAGGGGCCAAAGAGCCGCATGTGGCTCGGGAGCCAAGGTTTACCGACCACTGTCTTAGCTCATCTGCTCACCTGTCCCTCTGGACATCCCTGTGGCTCTGTTAATTATCTTTCGTTTCCATCCTTAGACAGTTGTGGGGATTTGGTCTCCAGATGGAGGCCTGGCCTCTGGTGCCCAGGGAGGTCCCGAGTGTTTAGGGAAGTTTCTGTTACTGTTTTATTTGTGTGGAATGCAGAATTAGAAATCCAGTAACCAGTCAAGTGAAGAGAAGGATGCTCCAGATGACTGTGGGCGAGAGACCATGACGAGTACTCAGAACAGCCACAGCATGGGTTTTCCTCCTTTCACCCCTGTGGATTGTTAATACATCGGACTGAGTCCGTCCTCCAAATTTCTCTCATGGGGCCCTATTTCTGTGAGATGCAGAATTAAAACCCAGAGCTTGTTAAAAAACACTACAACCACAAAACTTACTTTTATTAAGTGTAACACAGTGAATTCAAAAGAATGAATAAATTATATCATTTAATTTGATGATTATTTTATAAATTGGCTAATATTTTATTTTTTTTTAACTTGAGGAAAACCTGTTTTGCTTTGATTTTTGCTTTTTTGTCTTCCCAAACCCTAGATGATAAATAGTAACCCTTTTTTTCTCCTTCTATTCTTTGTATAATAATCCTACCCTTGAAGAATTGGTGACTAGATTGGCTTGGGCTGACTAGAGAAATGGTCAGTTATATGAAAAGCCAAAAAAAAAGCATAAATTTTTAAATAGTAAATTATCCTTGGTACATTAAATAGATGAGTTTCTTAATATTAGCTTGGGCCCTAAAAGACACATCATTTAAAATCTAATTATCTACCCTGGCCAGGTAGCTCAGTTGGTTGGAGCAGCATCCCAGTACGCCAAGGTTTAGGGTTCAATTTCTGGTCAGGGCACATGCAACAATCAACCAGTGAATGCATAAATAAGTGGAACAACAAATCAGTATTTCTCTCTAAAATCAATTTTTAAAAATCTATTTGTCTAATCTCAAGATCTTTAAATGAAACTGGACATTAATAAAAAGCACAGAGCCTGATGTACTATCTGCTCAATAATGCAACTGAAAGTTATACAAAAGGTTTTTTTGTTTTTGTTAATCCTTACCCGAGTATATTTTTTACATTGATTTTTAGGGAGAGTGGAAGAGAGAGGGAAAGACAGAGAGAAACATCAATGTGAGAGAAACACATTGATTGATTGCTTCCTGTATGTGTCCCGACCAGGACCCAGGCTGGGGAGGAGCCTGCAACCAAGGTACATGCCCTTGACCGGAATCGAACCCAGGATCCTTTGGTCAGCAGACCAATGCTTTATCCACTGAGCAAAACCAGCTATGGCTACAAAAGTATTTTTTTTTTATTAGAAACAAGAACTGAAGAAGCCCTGGCTGGGTAGGTCAGTTGGTTAGAGTGTTGTCCCGATATGCCAAGGTTACAGGTTTGATCCCTGGTCAGGGCATACAAGAATCAACCAACAGCCCTAACCGGTTTGGCTCAGTGGATAGAGCGTCGGCCTGCGGACTGAAGGGTCCCAGGTTCGATTCTGGTCAAGGGCATGTACCTTGGTTGCAGGCACATCCCCAGTAGGAGGTGTGCAGGAGGCGGCTGATCGATGTTTCTCTCTCACTGATGTTTCTAACTCTCTATCCCTCTCTCTTCCTCTCTGTAAAAAATCAATAAAATATATTTAAAAAAAAAAGAATCAACCAACAAATGCATAAATAAATGGAACAACAAATTGATGACTCTCTCTCTCTCTCTCTCTCCCCATTCCTCTCTCTCTCTAAAAAAAAATCAATAAAGAAAAAACATTTTAAATCAAAAGAACTGATATCTGGGTAGCTATTTAAGAACTTTTTTTGGTGAGATTTATCCTATGTATAGAAGGTATAAATGTATATTTAAAAATAATTATAAAGCAAACCCTCATAATCTTTTTCAAGAAAAACTGCCATTTGTCTATCCTCAATAACTCCATCTTCTATAAATAAAAAATAATTCCATATCCCTCACTGCCTCTCTTCCTCCTTCCCTTCCACGGTCTCTAAAAATGAATAGAAAAAATACCCATCTTGCTAGGCATCACACTTCATTTACTTTTCTATAACAAGAAATTAGTGGATAACATTAAAATATTGATGGTAAAATTAGAGCAGTAGTTTTTAAAAATTGATATTGTAGGATTGAGGTCAGAAAGTCTACTTGACATAACGGTCCTCAGAAAATGATACGGATATGTCCCAAACTGCCTGATTATACTTTTACCGGAGAGTGCAATGCGGTTTCCAACACTTAAAGTAGTTGCTTCCATTATAAGTATCAGAATGAGCTTTATTTTTCTGAATTATGGTGTTTCTATTGGAAATTGAATTGACCTTTACATTTCAGAACCATTTCACACCATTTCTCCCTTGTTGTCCTAGTCTTTTATGGATCACACCATTCAGCTCTCACACTCTCTCCCTTCTGATCTCTGTATCAGAATGAGCTTTATTTTAAATAAATTCAGAAACTGATTTTTTCACATGAATTCTGATTTCTATTTCAAACAAGCAGTTCCATTTCACTGTTAACATCATATGTTACAAATGATGTCAGTTCTAACCACAGAGCAGTAAGGGCTACTCCTTGTCTTCCTGTAAGTGGCAGAGGCAGGCAGAACTCCTGACTCAGGCAGTGTAATGAGAGGGTTCTGAGTTTCTACCATAGCCTTTGCCTTTCCGTAACTTCCTTTTACTCTTTATTGAAAGTCCATGCCTGTTAATGTGACCTAACTCACCCCCGCCTTCCCCTGAGATTCAGTCTGTTCCATGCGTCTGTGTCTCTGGATCTATTTTGTTCATCAGTTTATTATGTTTATTAGATTACACATATGAGTGAGATCATGTGATAATAGGAATATTTTAATGACCTACTGTTTATTGTCTTTTCTAGATGAAAGCTTTTCAATTCCTCATAATAAAAGGGGAGTTCTTGGAATGGTCAACAAAGGCCGTCACAGCAATGGTTCACAGTTCTACATCACGCTACAATCAGCTCCCTATCTAGATAAAAAATATGTGGCTTTTGGGTACGTGTATTGTAAGTTAGTGTATATTATAGTCATATATGTAAAAATGTGGTTCAAAAAATTTGGATTAAGTATTGTATGAAGTCTATGGGTAACTAAGAATTTAAAAGCAAAAGTAATACAAATACAAACATTTAGAAACATTTTGTGAGAAACCTGCTATCCATAAAACCCAGAAAATATTTAGGAGGCACAGCCATTATAATATTCTGTTTATCTATCCATCCATTCATCCATTTTTGTTCAGCCTAAAGGATATTACCAAATCTAAATTATGTTGAATAATACCATAGTACTTAATAATGTAGATATATTTAGATGCAGAAGTGAGATGAAACCATTTAAGTAATTGTCCATGAATACTGTGAAGAGATAGATGAAAACTATCTAAATTGCAAGTAACTTTTAAAATCCTCACCTGAGGATAGTTTTTCCATTGATTTCTAGAGAGTGGAAGGGAGGGAGGAGGGAGAGAGAGAAAGAGAGACATATAGACAGACACTTTGGCACGAGAGAGACACATCAATTGGTTGCCTTCTGCACATGCCCCTATTGGGACTGAGGAACCTGCAACCAAGGTATGTGCCCTTGACCCAGATACAAAACCCACTACCCTTCGATCTTGGGCCACCGAGATCTAACTACTGAAGAAAAATGGCTTGGGCACAAGTAACCTTTTTTTACTGAACAATTTAAAATATGGAGATATCTCTGGTAATTATTAGAATACTAGAGGCCTGGTGAATTGTGCACCGGTGGGGTCCCTCGGCCTGGCCTGTGCCCACTTGCAATCCAGGACCCGTCGGGGGATGTCATACTGCTAGTTTCAGCCCAATCCTCGCAAGCCAGGCCGAGGGACCCTAGTATGCATATAAGATCTTTGGTTAATCTCTTCCCACCTTCCCTCCTACCCTCCCCCGGAGATTCATCAGTCTGTTCCATGTTTCCATGCCTGTGCATTGAGCATCATAGCTACCAGTTGAACGGTCACTTAGGCTTACATATATATAGACTAGTAGCCTGGTGCATGAAATTTGTGCACATTAAAAGGGAATTAATTGCCCTAACCGGTTTGGCTCAGTGGATAGAGCATCAGCCTGCAGAATCAAGGGTCCCAGGTTCGATTCCGGTCAAGGGCATGTACCTTGATTGCGGGCACATCCCCAGTGGGGAGTGTGCAGGAGGCAGCTGAGCTATAAGCTAGTCCAGAGTACCATCATTCACAGAACAACCTCTGAGCCTTTGCTTATTTGTTCATTCTGCCTCCCTTCAGTTTGCCAAAATTCCGTTCAAGGCTTAGGTCAGAAACCTCTCTGATTACGAAAATGAAACTGGTTGTCTTCTATGGCACACTGTGAATAACACAAAGTAGGGACTGGGTCTCACTCATTTTGTGCCCTAATACCTGTAACAATGAAGAGGTAGACACAGTAGGTGCTCCTTCAGTATTTGTGAAACCAGTTTCGAGAAGAGGCTTCACATTCTTTTTGGACAGAGGTGAATCTGTCTCTTTTCCCCTGCTCTTCATCCTCAGAATGTACCTTGTGTCCTGCTCTGTCATGGTTTCTGATTGGGATGGCAAAAATAGAGCCCAGAGGCAGACAAAGATGACTAGAGCATGATCAGTGTCAGCACTGACCATGTCCCTATGAAGGTTCATAAAATGGAAATTGACCTTCCCCTGAGCTATGCCTCAGTACAAGCATTGGTAGAGAGCACATGTTTAGGACTGTCTCTCTTTTTGAGAGAACCATCAGATTAGCTCCACTGAGTTCTAGCTTGTGGCCAGTGAATGTCTACAGATACTGAAACCAGCATGGTGACTTTGTTCATGTATCTTTTATTCATGTATTCCATGGATGTTGATTAGGTGCCTACTATGTGCTAGGTATTGTGCACTCAGCAAAGGCATGATCTCTGCCCTCATGAATGAATCAGAAATGAATCAAAGAAGTATTCAAGTAAATATCAAATTTACCCCTGATTATTCCTATAAAGAGACCTGGGAAACTTCCACAAGGAAATGATTGAGCTAAGACCTAAAGGAAGGCCAGGAATTGACCAGACATAGGGGTGGGTGGTGGGGACAAGAGCAAAGGAGACAGCAGTGACAGGAAGGGCTCAAGGTGCTACTGAGGTACTAAAAGCCAGTCTGGCTGGAGCAGAGAGCAAGGGGCGCATGCTGCAAAACAGTCCTGGAGAGGTGTGGGGAGGCCAGCCAGGTTTTATAATAAGCATAATGGGAAATTGTGGAAGTGTTTTAAGCAGGGAGGTGAAATCAGATTTGCATTTTTCTTTTTTCTTTTTTTTTTTTTTTAAATATATTTTATTGATTTTTCACAGAGAGGAAGGGAGAGAGATAGAGAGTTAGAAACATCGATGAGAGAGAAACATCGATCAGCTGCCTCCTGCACACCTCCTACTGGTGATGTGCCCGCAACCCAGGTACATGCCCTTGACCGGAATCGAACCTGGGACCTTTCAGTCCGCAGGCCGACGCTCTATCCACTGAGCCAAACCGGTTTTGGCAAGATTTGCATTTTTCAAACTTCACCCTGACGGTAGTGAGAATAACAGATTTGGAAGGGTCCCAAATGGATGTGGAACCATGGCAATCTGGACACATTTAGAACTATTCATTAATCACTGATGTTACTTTAATTTGTAGGAAATATCCTTAGCTAAGCAGGGTAGGACTCAATTTAGGAATGTAAGCTAAATGTGGAAATGTATGACTGACTAAATTTTCCACTTTTTCTCCTATATTAGGCAATTGGTTGAAGGAACAGATGTTCTTCAACAACTAGAATTGGTTCCAACAGAGAATGAAAGACCAATACAACAATGTACAATTATCGACAGTGGAAATGTTTATGCTTGATTTTCAAATCAATATTTTCTGAGTTTATTATGTATCTGATCAGCTGTTTCTAGATTTAATTAAACCATGCTTGATAAAATGTAATTTGAAAACTGTCACAGACGCAGTAGCAGTTGGTTCACCCAAAACCCAATATTTCCCCTTTTCCCTTTCTTGCCTCTGCCGTCTAGACTATAAAAGCACAAAACTCAATTTCCCAGCCTCCTTTACTACCAGGAGTGGTCATGGGATGCCATTTTGGCCAGGAGTAGAATGCCAGTGGTCCTGACCCTTGCCTTTCATAGTCTTGAATGCAGAGGCTAGAACCATAAAAGAAAGGCCAAGAAAACTGCAGAGATGTCAGTCCCAACTCTTGAGCTGTGGAACCAATGCCCAAAACTACCTATCTCTGGACTTCTTACTATATGAGAAAAATAGAGCCCTGTTTATGTTGGTTGTGTATTTTGTTACTTGTAGCCAAAGTCATTCTTAATTTATAGCAGTACCTAATGAATGACCCTTGAATCCTAAAATATTTTTTTGAAATAGGTTTTTTATTTATTTGAGAGAGAGAAAGGGAGAAACATGGACAAGAACCTTCAATTGGCTGCCTCCTGCACACCCCCTACGGGGGATCAAGCCCGCAACCTGGGCATGTGTCCTGACCAGGAATTAAACCGGGGAACTTCTCAGTGCATGGGACATTGCTCAACCAATTGAGCCACACCAGCCAGGGCAAATCCTAAAGTATTTGTAATTATGTTTTTGTAACTACATTATCTACCATGAGAAACTTATTAAAAAACAAGAGAGACTATAGAAAAAAATAATTGTTACATTTCATTATTCATACTTAGCATTCAAAAAAGGCTATGGTTGGATGTTTTTATATGACATGAATAGTATGCTTATCTCTGAGCCATACCAACCAAGGGCTTGGGTTGCAGTCCCCATGGTGGTTGACACCTGAAATGTTATTGGGGATCCAGCTTTATCAGCACTGCTTAATCTGAGATTTTCAAACCCGTGTCACCTGGGAAACTTTTTCAACAAGACTGCTGGGCCCTGTCCTTGCCCTACTCAAGAGTCTCTAAGATGTGTGAGACAGGGATCTGTGCATTTAGCTCTCTCCCCAAAGGTTCCTATTTAAATGCTGGGCACTAGTCATTTGGGAATCACTGCAAGATATAATGGTGTCAGCCCTCTTTGTATAGTCAGTGACATGCTTGTTAGTGGTGACCCTGCTCAGCTGCTACCGCCATCACCATTCTGCTCCTGCCCTGCCCAGAGCCATTATGCTTTTCTTGCCCTTAGATGTCTTCAAACATGAAGCCTCTTTGGCCCTGGCTGGTTTGGCTCAGTGGATAGAGCATCAGCCTGCGGACTGAAGGGTCCTTCCTGGGTTCAATTCTGGTCAGGGGCACATGCCTCGGTTGCAGGCTGGATCCGTGTGGGATGTGCAGGAAAGAGGCAGCCAATCAATGATTCTCTCTCATCATGGATGTTTTTCTCTCTCCCTCTCTGAAATCAATTAAAAAATATGTATTAAAAAAACAAAACAAAAACATGAAGTCTCTTTGAGCCAATCTTATAGAGACAGACCTCTAATTGACTTGGGGCTTGCCAAAGGTAGGCATATACTTAAAAAAAAATGATAGACTCACAGGAAGTTACAAAAATAGTAGTCTTGTGTGCCAATCATGCAGTTTCCCCAATATGCATATCTTATACAACTACAGTACAGTACTAAAATAGGCAACTGACATTGGTACATGTACTGTCATTTTATCACGTAGATTCACATGACTGACACCACAATCAAGACACAGAACTTATCCAGTGCCACAGAGCTCCCTGGGGCTACCCCTTTATAGTTACACCTAATGCCCACCACCATCCCTAACTCCTGAAAACTGGCTCAGCCCGGCCAGTGTGACCGAGTGATTGAGCATTGACCAATGAACTACAAGGTCACGGTTCAATTCCTGGTCAAGGCACATGCCCATGCCTGGGTTGCAGACTTGATCCGGTGAGGGGCATGCAGGAGGCAGCCAATCAGTGATTCTCACATCATTGGTATTTCTTTCTCCTCTCTTCCTCTAAAATCAATAAAAATATATTAAAACACACACACACACACAGACCAGTGCAATATAACAAAAAGTTGTATACTAAGATCTGAAATAGAGATATAAAGTATACTGTCACATTCTCAACTGACCCAGAAGCAGCCCAGTGTTAAGGATGTGTGTTTTAGAGGCAGACAGCCTGGGTTTGAGTCCTAGCTCTGCCATTCCCTAGCTGCAAACGCTCAGGCAACAACTCCACAGTGTGTCTATTTCCTCATCTCAAAACAGTAGTATCTACCACAAAGTTGTGAGGATTCAAGGAATCAGTCAATTGTATACAGGACCTAGATAGAACTGTTATACTCTAAGTGCTCAATAAATATATGCTCAATAAATTAATCACCAGTGTATAATCTTCAGGAACTTGTATTTTTTATTTTCAGCTTAAAATAAGTTTGCTTAAGTACAAAGGGTGAGTCAACACAAGGAAAAACAGAAGTAACAGTACTTGGAGCTTGAGGCAGGTGGACCTCCTGGACAGGTGTGTGTCCTCTGGTGGGCCTGGGGCCATCTGAGGGTGAGGCCTCACCTGGACACCTTGTCTGCTTACAGGGGTCTGGTAGGGCCCCCACTAGCCTGCCCTACAGTAGCCTGGGCCTGGCAGGGCACGTGCTCCAAGGCTTCACTGAGGACGGGGCCTGCCTGAGATGGGCAGGTCCTGGTGGCTGGACCTCAGTCACTGTCATGCCCTCTCTTCTTCTTGGGGGAGGAGTTGGAGTCGTGCTTGCGATGGTGGGCCCTGGCCGGAGCCGAGGACTGTGAGGTTCTGTGCTCCTTTTCTCTCTTCTTCTCTTTCTTGTGCTTCTTCTTTTTCTTCTTCTCTTTCTTGCTCTTCTTGTGACTCTGGGGACCCTGCTCCACCTTCTCCTCTTGCCTGGGCTTCTTCCGAGCTGGGGAGGTCCCTGGCCGACTGCTGTCCACGCCGTGGTGCGTGAACACTGGCAGCCCCAGCTTGGCCGCCTCCTTGTCTTCTCGGGACAAGGCCACTCGGCCTGCAGAACCGCTGGAGCTCCCCAGGCCCAGGAGCCGGTCCACCCCCTTCTCCTCGGGGTCACCACCTTCACGCTTGCAGATCTCCACAAAGTCCTCCTTGCTCAGGCCAGTGGGCTGCTTCCGCACATTCTTGTAGCCCAGCGCCGCCATGAGCGCCTCCTGCTCCGCCTGCCTCACGGCTGCCAGCTCCTGCTCTCGGCTCATCCCCGCACCCTCCGCCCGGCCCTTGGCGTACCAGGTGAGGTCTCGGCCCTTCTGCCAGCGGCCCACCGGGGCCATCAGCGAGTTGCCCAGGTAGTTCTCCCTCTGCTTGTCGGTCTTCACATCCTCCCAGCTGAACTGGTCCTGTCCCCCGCGCACGCCACCTCGGCTGGAGCCGAACATGGTGCTGGCCGCCCCTTGGCCTCCGGTCCGGAACTTGTATTTTTAAAGGCTCCTCAATGACTCTGATTAACAGCCAGATTTGGGAATCACTGAGGAGGAGCTATCTCCTCTTCCTCTAGTCCGAGTTTCAGCCAAGCTGAGAACGCAGGCTGTTTGAATGAAGCCTCCAGATCCTCTCTGGGCCGGTGGATGGGTTCCTGTGGTCACACTGGGGACTTCTCAAAGGGACTCCCACCAGCTAGTGAGGCACTGGATGAATGAAACTGATGCTTTGAAGAGATCCTGGTTAAAACAAAAGCATCAATCATGTATTAACAAACAATAATTCTTACTGGCAATGAACCCATATATTAAGACAGTAAGTATTTTATGTGAAAGAATTGGATTATCTGCATGGACGTAAGAAACTGATTGCAGCTCCCTTTATAGATCAGTGTAGCTGCAATGTAAATGCTGCAAACTTTCTATAGAATGGCACATTCAGAGTCCTTTTGCTGCCTCTCCCTTTCCATTTTCAGGCTGTATAGAAGCTTTACTGATCTGTATAGGCAGTGGTCCTTATTACCCCCACTTAAAGGTACACACAAAATAATACTTCTGTATCAGAATATGTATTAGAATGATCTGTATGTTTAAACATGTTTGGAGAAACTGATTGTTACAAAGGACTCAAAGCTTATCCCTATTAACTGCAAATATAACACTTTGATTTAACCAAATTGAAAGACTTTGATTAAACAGAAAGAATTTTAGATTTTTCCAAGCCTACGAATAGGAGAGCAAAGCCATTTTAATGATTATTCAAAATGTCAGTTATATGACCTTACCCTAATGGCTGATATGGCAGAGTCAAGTCCATAGACTGTATCTTACACTAAGCCATATTTTTCTTATTTTGGGAGATTTGAGATAAACATTTAAAATTCTATCTAAAGAATTTGTTTGCCCCAACTACAAACAGTGCCATTATTTGTTAACTAATGAATAGTGTGGTAACCTCAGGATCCCATACTCTATATGTATTTTAAATAAGGAATGTTTGTTTAGTCCCAGCTATCTAGCAATGGGTGGTCAAATCACTTTACCTTTCACTTTCCTCATTCGTAAAAGGAACAGAGAAGTAAAAAAGCAGAGAAGTAAAAAAGGTGTTGGCTTCCTTCTGGCTCTAATCACTAGTGATTCTGTGTACATTTATAAAATCAGTAACAATTATTTGCTTTGGGGCTTCAATTTCATTAGTAAAATGGACGTACTACTATCTCACAGTGGTCTGTGGATTGAGATAATATGTGAAGATACTTCTCATGATACTTGACAGAGCAGATATTGAATAAAAAGTAGTTTCTTTTCTGGAATATCAACCCACAAAAACCAGTCAAGCTACCACTGACAGAGAAACATCAAGTCCCTGTTATGTTCAGTATTACTCATTCTCATTAACACCATGTTAATTTTCAATTGACTGAATTAATCTATCCTCAAAATTAAAATTGCTCTCTATTACACCTGGTGATACTCTCTCCTGTATGGAAACTCATTTTTTAAACTAGTACTATATTAACTATACTATTCACTACCCTTCCCCAAATGGAATCACAACTTAAAACTGGCAAATCTATTCAGTCCATATTTCAAATAAATGTTATATAACATATAAAATATTTGTTGCAAACTCAATAGTAACATGTACAACATAAATTACAAAGTTTGGTATTTGATAGGGGGCTTTGAAAATGTAAATCGTAAATCATTAGGTTCTTTTACTTTAGTGTGTACCAGAAATGCTTGAGCCTCTCAAAACACAAATTCCTGGGTCTCATCCCAGTTTCTGATTCAGTGGATCTGGACTGGGCAGAAAAATATGCATTTTAACAGGTTCCAGGTGCTGCTGATGCTACTGGTCTGGAGACCATACGTTAAGAACCACTGGGATGTATTGAAGACATAGATATATGAGAGACTGGCATGCTGGTATGTGGAAGAAAGATAAAAGTAAAACACTTAAGTGTGACAAGAGAAAAGAAAGAATGAGGAAAGATGATAAGAAACTTTGGTTTTTATTAAAGCAGCAGGGAGTTATGAAAACACTGATCAATTAGAAGGGACAGAGACTGGAGGCCCCGAGCAGGGTCCTGCTGCTCCTGGGTGGTGGGAGGCGAGCCCTCCAGGGCTGGAGAGGCAGCAGGCCAGTCTGGGGCTTTGGGGAGGGACTGGGACACGGGCTCCACAGGGCAGTGCTCTTTCCCAGTCAATACAAAATCCCGTGAATATTTTAATAACCAGAATGTCCATCTGGGTGTATTCTGGGTGAAAATCAGCACAACAAGACAAGATTGGCAGCCGCACACTGGCTGCCTGGGCACAGGGGAAGTAGTAACTAATGCAGGCTACCAGAAAGCTGCCTAGGGTGTAGTTTAGCTTGAACCTGGGGGTTGTTCCTAAGAAATGAGTTAGAAAGAGGGCTTTCTTCTGTTTCCTAAAGGACTAAGAGATAGCATGGAAAAAGCTCTAGCGGACCCAGAGCTTGAAGTGGAATAGAAATAAAAATAAGTGCAATCTGAGGTGCCAGCCTAGAGAGAACCGAGGCTGGGCTGCGTGACTCCCGCCCATCCAGGAGTCCTGTGCTGCTCATACCCCGACTTTACATTTCTAAAACAAACAAAAAACCAAAGTCTCAAAAACTTTACAACATGTCTTGCTTGATGTAGTGCTCTAGAATATTCACTATTAAGAAATGTAGCAATTTAGGAGGTAGAATTATAATAGTTCTCCACAGTGATAGTGTAAGGCAGTCTTAAACTTTCACAGGTGTACACATGTACATATGGATCTCGTTAACATGCAAATTTTGACTCAGGAGGACTGAGGTGAGGCTGAGATTTTGCATTTCTAAGAAATTTGTAGGTGGTATAAATGATATTCGTGAACCGCACTTTGAGAAGCTAGAGTAGAGCAATGGCTTTCAACCTAAGCTGTAGATTAGAAACACCTAGGGAGCTCTTAAAACTTCTAATGCCCAGGCAATATTCCAAACTAATTAAATCAGTACCCAGACATCAGTATTTTTCAAAACTCCCCACATGGTTCCAGTTCAGCCAAGATTGACAACAACTGCTCTAAAGTGTAATGCTCCCCTCTGAAACCCTGGAACAGTTATCAAAGTATACAAAGTGAAGTGCCTCCTAATGAGAGATCTCTAATATATTACCAATCCTAATCATGGTGTTAATACTCATAATATGAACACACAGTTTTAGCTCACTACTAATCTTTGATTTATTACTATCCTTCTCTAATTTGGTTAAAACATTTAAATATTACACAAAGTTTAATACATGTTGTTAAAACCATATTATAGATGCCAGTCCTTGCTCTGGAATGCGGACAATGACTTTGGAAGTCTTCCTTGATCTAGCTCAACAGGCGCCACGTAAAATAAAATAAAACGATGTGTTTCTAGTCTTAAAACAGAGTGAAATGTCCCCTTAAAAGAACTAACAAAAATCTGAGGACTAGAGTGGAACAACTAGATGACAAATTGTAAAACAATGGCCTCCGCAGTGGGTGTGTCCATCCTAGGGCATAAACAAAATAACCCACTGGGGTATGAGAAGAAAACAGAACTTTTATTATATTTTTAACCTTTAAAAAAAAAGTTGACTAGTGCTTTCATTTGGTCTGAGTGTCAGTCAGGAGCTAAATAAATACTATGTGAGAAGTATCCTGAGAGAAGAGAAGAGCAGACTTTTCACTGAAGGCTGATGATGGGACCTCATTTATTTTACTTGGCTGCACTCTCATACTTGGATCATAGGTTGGATCAGTCGAAAATCGTCAGTTTCTTATTTATATCTGAGCAAATCTCCAACTAGTGTAGTCTTTTTGTGTATGTCCATAGTCATCAGGCTCCAGAAGGACCCCAATGATTAGAACCTAGGGAGTTATAAAAGCTTTCAAATCGAGGCCAGAAAAGATAAAGCGCCGACAAGAGAAAAATGGTAAGTCCTGAATTAAATGACAGCGGGCCTGAGGGTAGAAGAGACATGGGCAATTAATCAGTTAACAGCCAGAAGGCCGAAACCCACTATATACTGTTCACCTTCCTGAATGTAATTTGAAACTTGAAATCCACTTCGTTGGCATCTTGCTTACACATGAACTTTCAAATACTTCTTCCTTATGGACTATTCACCTATCCTGGAATTTTCTCACTTCACCTTTTCCCGCCCCCCTCTTATCTGTAGCCAATGTAAATTTAAAAACAACTTTTATCTTTCTGCTCCAAACTCATTCTATAAAAGAGCCCCCGTCAACCCCAAGAAGGTGGACATATCTTCTCCATCAAGCTCTGCTGCTAACGGTTCAAACTGCAAGTCCCAGGACAACAAATCCTTTCCCGACAACTTTTGGCCTGGAAGGTTTTGTTTAACAGCGCGATGCAGTCATCTTTTTCTGGTGCTTTCATAACAAAGCTGATCTCACAGAAGTAATTACTGTTCGTGTGTTATTTTATTAGGCTAGATGTGCACAATTAAGATTACATGACAAATACAAAAAGCCGAAAACAGACGACATTGAATACTTAGCTTTTACAATCCATTTTTTACCCTTGATGTAAGCATGGCTGCACTGAATGTTTCTGCGAGACTGGGCATCAGATGGCGCTCACCGTTACGAAAAGCCCAAGCAGTGACAGGCATTTCGAAATCAAACCCGGACGCAAACAGCGTCTTGGTCAGGTGACTTTTACGAATCTGTTTACTCACCTTTAAAACGCATCAGATGGAGTTCCTACTCAGATCGTCTTCGACTTTTGGACTGTGTCGGTGGCACGGACTGGCTGCTGCTACCGCTGGACTGAAATAGCAAGAAATTCGGAAAGATCAGGTTGGGGAGGTGTGAAAGGCAGACGGTGGGCTGCTCGGGCTGCAAGGAGACCGCTTGGGTGTTTCGGCGGCGCACGCTACGTGGGCGCCGGAGCAGAAGCCTTAACCACTTGGCCTCCATTTCCCCCGGGAGTCCCAACACGGGGTGACTTACGGGAAAGTCGATTTCCACGGTAAAAAGCACGGGTCCTACTAAGCACATATGCAAGACCTGGCGAACGCGGAAGCACCGCACAAACTTAATTCTAGCACAGGCTCTGAGCGCTCAGCAACGAATCAACTTCCGGCCCGGCGGGACTCGGGTCGCGAGGCGGGGCCCTGACGTCACGTGAGGCCGCGGAATTACGGCCTCGCGGGTCGCTCCGGAGGACGCCGTACGCCACGTCATGTAGGTTGTCCCATCCAAGCCATGGGGGGAGATTTTCTTAATGCAGTAACAGGAAAAGCCCAGTTGCGTCCTGTATGGCACTCTTAGGGCAAAGAAAATAGTTTCCGATGTCTTTCCAGTGTTTTGGTTATATAGTATAGTCTCTTTGAGGGACAGCCTCCCTCCGTTTCTTCTCGATGTCTCTGCCCCCCTCTCGGAGGATTCCACTTGGTATCGCCCGTTCCCCGCCTCCGCCCCTGTCCGCCCCCTGCACGTGACCCCGGCGCGCTCCCGCCGGGGAGCGGAGTCTGGGAGCCGACGCCGCTGGAGACAGAGGGAGCCGGGGAGCATCTTGCGCTGCAGCTGTCGCCGCAACCCCAGCGCGGAGTCGCGATGTCCGGACTCTCCCGCCTGCTCTGGGCCGCCGCCTGCCTGGCCGCGCTGTGTGTGCTGACCGCGGCTCAGAACTCCACCCTGGCCCCGAACGTGACTTCAGTGCCCCCCAACCACACAGTCACGACGCCGCCGACCGTCGCGCCGCTCACCACTGTCGTACCAGGTGGGTGACGGTCCCCTCGGCTCCCGACTCTCGCTCGCCCTCCCGCGCGGCCGAGCTGCCTTCCTGCCGGTGGTGCGCGCGGGGCCAGGGCGATCCGCGCTCCTGCAACATGGCGGTCCGTCCAAGTCCAGCCGGGGCCGGGCGCGGGGGGCCGGGGGCCGCTGGGGCCGGGGGGCCGGGTGGGGAAGCGCCCCGATGGGAAGGGGCGGTCGGGCCCTAACACAGTTCCTGACCCGCGTCCCAGTCCGCGGTGTTTGATGAAAGTGGCTCCAGCCTCGCGTGTGCGCAGGAGAGGGGACGGGGCTTCCCCCCACGGCGGCGGCGGCGGGGTTGGTTCTGGGCCGAGGAGACCGAGCTCCTTGCCCGGGGTGGGGGAGTCATTTGTCCGCCAGGTCCTCTCCCCGCCAGCAGGCTTCTCCGGAAGTTGGCCAAAGCGGGAAAGGGAAACTGAAGACATGAACTTTCGCTGGTGTCTCAGAGTTTAGCCAGAGATTTAATTAAGATAACCTTGCGGATAGGCACGGGATTTATCTGAGGTTTGAGTATTAAATGAATTAAAACTGTACACCCCGTGCCGTGTGAAAACGTCGAAAAGTTACCCATGCGTGCACCCAGAACTTCGCATATGTCTCCGAGGCTAAACTAGAAGGTAGATGGTGAAACCAAGAAGTAGAGAGAGAGTCACTCTGCCGGGACCGTACGTTTAGCCGATTGTGAAGTTGGGGTTGGAACCAGGTCTGTCTGTTTTCTAGAATCCAGCCGAGAGCGCACCTTTTGTTAAGCTCTGCGGTCCGCTGGTGGAGGCGCACACGGAATCCTAAAGGAGGAATCGGCAGTGTGTGGCCAGACAAAAAAGAGGGGAAGGTGGATGGGAGAGGAGGCGAAGGAACACTAGATGTATAAAACCTGCCATCTAGTGCGATTGGTTATTCTAGTTAAACATTGGGTATTTTGACTGAAGAACTGCTGGTTTTTAAATATATCTTTTAAAATTTGATTTTTAGAGAGCTAGGAAGCGAGGGGGGGGGGAGAGAAAGAGAGAGGAAGAGAGAGAGAGAAACATCCCTGAGAATCATCATCAGTCGGCTGTCTGCCTCCTGTGTGCCCCCTGTTGGGGAGCAAGCCCGCAACCCGGGCATGACCGGGGACAGAACCGGGACCTACTGGTCCTTGGGTCGTCGCTCAACCACTGAGCCATACCAGCCGGGCTGGTTTTTATCTTTTTTTTTTTTCCAGGTTGATCATACTGTTTTACAATGTCTTCCCTAGTTTTTGTATTTTATAAAAGCTTAGTAAAATATATAATGAACTTAATATTGTTTGTTAGAGTCAGAAAGATGTAACGTTTTAAAATGTTCAGACCTGGTGGTGTGGCTCAGTTGGTTGAGCGTCCTCCTGATGCACGGAAAGGAAAGGTCCGTTCGATTCCCGGTCAGGGCACATCCCCAGTAGAGGGCACACAGAAGGCAACAGACGGATGTTTCTCTCACCCTTCCTCTCTGTCTTAAATCAATAAAAACGTTAAAAAAAATTTTCAATGAAAGTAAATTGCAGTACAAGTTCTAACCGCACAATTTTTAAGGGGATAGAGCAAAATACGTTTTTGTCTCCTGATTATTTGGCAGTTTTCTCTCAGAATTGTAGTTTTGTTGTGCTTTTTGATTTTTAAAGACAAGCTTGGAAATATGAAGTTAATTGCCTTTGTGTGATTTAAATGAGTGCAAAGGAGATAATTTGTGTTTCCTGTAAGTAGTAGTTGGATAGGCTGCAGTCTGAAAGATAGCAAGTTTAGTTCATTATAAATATCATTCGCTCTGCTACCCAAACATTCATCATCCAGCACAAAAGATTTTAAACAAGTAACATTTTTCACCTGTAAACAAACCTGAAAACTGACCCCCCCCCCCCCCCCCCACACACACACACACATCATATATGTGTCCTAGTCTCTGGTCGTACTGATGGTGAAATGTTGACATGCAACACTTCTGTGCTGTACAGGGTTGCTTTTTGAGGTACAGAGAAAGCAAAGGAGAATGTTTTTTGGAGGCATCTAGCTTCTAGGAAATGGATGGAGTCCAGTTCTGTAGTCCATTTGTTTGTCCAGACATTGAATTGTAATTAGTCTTCTTTGAAGTCTGGTTTCTGGGCTTAAATTATTGAAAAAGACTTTGCTAACTAGTTATATTACATGTACATGAATGCAGCTCCCTCCAAATGTGTTGCTCTTATCCTCCAGTTATGGAGGACCGAGGAAAGAGTGGATCATTTATGAATTACAAATCTCTGAGGTTTTTCAGAATGGGCATCATCAAATCTTGGGTTCAACCTGTCATACATCTTTATTACTGTTAAAAATTTTAGTGTCTCTTCTGATGTTTTGGGCCAGTAATTTCCCTGTCTGTATTGTTGACCTTATAATAGTCTTTTTCCCAATATTTGTATTTTTTAAGGATGCTCTAAAATGCATCAAGAAATCCTGGGTGTCTGTGAAAGAGTTGCCATGTAAAGGAAGGTTGTTTAGATAGGTATCATGAAGTAGTACTGAGTGTTTTCCCCCCTTTCTCTTGAGTTAACTCTGGCTTCCTAAGTCATTTGAAATTATTAGAATTTCTTAGTAAACCAGTTTATAAAGTTTTTTGTGTGTGTGTGGTTAAAAAAGTCACATGAGCTCTACCCTCTGAACAAATTTTTAAGGGCATTGTACAGTATTGACTATGAGCACAGTGGTGTACAGAAGATCTCTAGAACTTTTCCTCTTGCATGAAACTTTATACTCATTTCCCCTCCTTCCAGCTCCTGGCAACCACCATTCTACTTTCTGCTTCTGAATTTGACTACTTTAGATACTTCGTATAAGTGGAATCATGCAGTATCAGTCCCTCTGTGACTTGCTAATTTTACTTACCATAATGTCTTCAGGACCATCCATGTTGTAGAGTATAACAGGATTTCCCCCTTTTAATGATAGAATAACATCCCAGTTTGTTACCCTTTTATCTGTTGATAGGCTATAAAGTTTTACCATTTCTCTGAGTTAGTAAGTGTGGTACTGTATATAATGCCTACTGTTTAAAAAAAGATAAGTAATACAAATTCAAAATCAGTTGCCAATTAATTGATTTCATGCATTCCTCCCCACTCCAGAAATCTGTGGAAAACACAACAGCTGTGTCTCCTGTGTTAATGCTAGCAATGATATTGCTAATATTTCCTGCTTTTGGATGGAATGTAAAGAAGGTAAGAAACGTTTGGATTTTTTTCATTTTTTGAGTACACAGAACTTTTGTTGCAACATTTTAAAATATACAACAGAATATTCTTGAACATTCAAAAGTTACATAGAATGTTTACAATAGTATATACTATTTTTTTATAAATCAAATACTTTTCCTTTACAGTGCCAATTGCTTAACACTTCCCTCTAAAACAGGGGTGGGCAAACTTGGGCCACAATGGGTTCTTAAACTGGACCGGAGGGCCGGAACAAAAGCATGGATGGAGTGTTTGTGTGAACTAATATAAATTCAAAGTAAACATCATTACATAAAAGGGTACGGTCTTTTTTTTTTTTAGTTTTATTCATTTCTAACGGGCCGGGGCCCGCAGGCCGTAGTTTGCCCACGGCTGCTCTAAAATCTCTTCTTGTCTCCCACCACCCACTTTCCCCCTTAATTCCTTAAACTTGGTAATTAAGGCTCAAAAGTTTTAAAGGAAGAGAGATTACAGAGTCTATAATATAGACCATTGTGTAGGATATACTGAAATTAGCTGTGAAAGAAAGTTGTGAAATGTTCTGGAAACTTCCCCAGAAAAATGTTTGAGACATTTATCCTCAGTGTGTTCTGCTGGATGAACTATAGAGAGACCTTATAAACTTAAGATAGAGGAGAAGAATGAGGAGGGAAGACTTGGTTTTTTCCTGTGGTTTTGTTAAGTTAGCTTTAATTTGAGAGATAAAGAATTAGATGGAGATACTTTGAAATGCCAGTTAGGTTTTTGTTAGAACCATGGGATTATAGCATAAATAACTGTTTTCTTAATGTAAGGTGCTTGCGTTTTTTTTTTTTTTATCAGTATAACAATTTTTTTATATATAAAGAAAAAGTCAAAGCTACCTGTTACGCTTCTTTATTCTTCACTGAAAATTTTAACATTACATCACTAACAAAGTTTAAGAGACTCTTTTAAAATTAGGGTATTGGGTCAATTGGAGGTTAAGTTTACTCTTGTAGCAGAGTCACTTTTTTTTTTTTTAAGTGATAAAATGGAATTTAAAAGTTTATCCCTACCCCGCATGTATGGCAGAGTTGGCAAGTTTTGGAGATTGAATGCCCTTCTGTAGGATATGTTGGGGAAAGAACTGCTTACTCTTGCTATAAGTCTCCCACCCAGGAATTGGTTTTAGAAAGTGTAGAAGACTAACGCAGAGATCTGGAACAGAGGACTTCCTGCTGCCTTAGGGCACCTCCCCTGTTTACTAAGCCTTTATTAGATCCTGTCCACTTCTCCCTACTGACTCACCCTCCTGTGGATTCTAGCAGCCTTCCTTGTGCACTAGTCATACCACAATCCTAAGATCTAAGTTTATCTGTTCAGTATGTTCA